GGGAGGGGGAGGGTAGTTCGAATCCTATTAATCTTTCCCAACGCGATGTCCACGCTGTGCAAGTGATAATCCCGTCGTGTACTCGACTTAAGATAATCGATTCGGGAATTCTGCGTCAATGTCCAAAATGTATTAGATTTTCAGTTCCTCCTATAAAAATTCTTTAGCAATCATTAATAGTAACAGTACAAACTAATTTGAATATTCGGTAATAGACGTTCCATGATTAAAAGACCCAAAGAAGTGACCTAGAAATGTTTGTATTTAACTTTGTACTTTTTTAGATGGAAAGTGAACTTTCTACTTTACCCAGTTATGATAACTTCTTCCCAAAAGCTTTAGCGAAATGAGACATGGTATCTAAGATCCTTCTTATTCAAATTCCAGTTGAATGCAATAATTCTATTGACCAAAAAAGTCCACTTTGCACTAATCCTCTAACTTTGTGGCAGGTGTCTACGCTCTTTCTACATTTCCCGAATAAGAACTGCTCTACAAATTAAAAATCAAACACAAATTTCATCAAGACATTCAGTATAAAACGTTCCAATTAAAAAGAAAAACAAATAAGTAAATTTAGGTATAAGGGCTCAAGTTTGCGTTAATAAAGCACTGAACCCGTAAAAGCAACTAATTGGGAAAATTATACCACCCTCCAAGAACCAAGCAATAAGAATTCATTGTTCTCTCATCCACAGTGAGACACGAAGTTTGCTCTGCATTTACATGTTTCAAAACTTCTAACGGTAGTTTAATTTTTGATTGAAATTTGAAACACGATGTAATTAACTCAAAATTACAATTTGTTTCTTCCGAAACATGGAGTCCATTTAACAAATAAAAATCAGTTGCATTCGCTGAATTAATTCTACTCCTTTTTACAATATGAAATTAGTTACATAATTACTCTAATAAAGCGGAATTTAATTTGATTAGACATATTGAAATTCCATGCCATTTAAGATATTTCAAACAAAGTTTGTCGGATTGTATTCAATAACACACCTGCTTAGTAGTCTGTCCAGATTATGCAATTGTGGGTTGTCTTAAAGCCGAAGTCAACCAAATCTTTCATCATATTTTGTGTCATAAACTTACCTCCACGTGGTGCACCCTGGGCAATGTATACTCATACGGCAAAAAGGTCTATTAACCGGCAGTTGACTTCTCACTTCAAACAACCATCACCTCCACTGTATGTCATATTCGACTACTTTCACAGTACTCACCTCACCTCTTGCTACCTCTGTGTCTGTTTCTTTTACATCTTTGAAATGCGCTTCTGTTCCTCCCCCGCTCTCAAATTTTTCACTTTGATGTTCCTTCCCCTCTGTATAGCCTGAAGTCAACTAAATGGCTAATTATGACTATCAAAATGCCTGCCATTTGATATAAATAAATTTGCTTAAAAACGTGTAGCATATTGAGTCTGAATGATAAGGCTGGCACTTCTAATGCTAGACCTGATCAATCAATGCGTGTAGGAGTTGGAAGCATTTTTTACTTTGAGTGATATTAGGCTATTTCAAAATAATAATAATAATATGTGCATATTATATAAAGGAATGAGTGAAATGGATTTACGCTAAGCACTGGTGAAACGCATGGAATAATTCTCGAAATGTGTTGGTGTCACTTCATAAATTAAATTAAATTTTTAAGTATTATTATTCATATTATAAAGCAACCCCTTCACAAATTATTGCTGTTTTTTGTTAATATCTGCTTCTGTGATGTTATTATTAGATATTACAATGCAGACATAAATTCCATTTTTTTGTTGTGTTCTGACATGAGAATTTGTGACTGGAAGCGCAAACGTGACGCGGCGAGGTGGTCACATACAGCTGCACGACACAAAAATAACTTACCGTGAATGCCATTCTGTTAACCTTGACAGCGTGAATGAATTTGTAACGGGATTGGCGAAAGGGGTCCTGGGGAGTGGACCAACCCAACCTCGGCCAGTTCCCACTGCCGCCGCCGCCAAGACTGCCGCTACTGTCCGACTCCAGGCTACTTAGGTGGCTCCCATGGCGACGAATGCGGACTGTTCTGCGTACTGCCGGACTTCGTCCCCCGCAGAGGGGTGTATGAGATTTGTCATCGGCAAACAATCGCATCGATCGTTGTGGCCTAAGATCAAATACTGAACTACCCATCCTTTGGAATAGTGAGCCTGATCCGTAAACCACTCTCCCTAAATTTGCCTGGAAGCCGTTGCTAACACTGGTGTTCTCAGAAGGAGTACTTGCACTGGGGGTCGGATTGTTATCTTCCGCGATTATCAAACATTGGTCAAATAAAAATACTCGACACTCCGTAAAATGTAGATTTATCGATTTTTGAGCAGCAATGCAGCCTAAAAGGTCGAATTTAACGTAAAATCAGTCAGCAATATGTCCTCTTTACCTTAATTTGGTTGAGCAAAGGCCAATTTATATTCGACAAAAATTCAAAAATAATTTTTTATTTTTAAAAGCTGCGTTAATATTATTAAATTTCGACCTAAATATGTCGCATATTTTGTGGTTAAAAATCACACATTCGCGCTAAAACCTTCTCCCAATTCTTTGAAAGATGAGGTACAGAGATTGAGGAGATTCAAATCGATTGCATCTTGAGGCACTGAAAAGTAAAAATATTGTCGCAATTTGGAATAAATTGAGTTGAAGCAAATTAAATTCTCCCAATGTGTTTTATATGTCGTTATTCTAGGAAATATCTACACTTCTTAATATAAAGAGAATATTCTAAAAAAATTTTTTTAAAAAGCGTATTTGGCAGATCCTCTTCCCTTTTTTCTTTCGGACGCTTTCATAAGGCGAGCATCACCGCATTTTCACAGACTGCAGCACATTTTTAATCCACCCCCCACCCCCCACCCACCCCCCACCCTCTTTTGTTTAATAATCTTCCCTAACCCCAACTCTGCTTTCGATCTCCAGGACACCCACTTATCTTGGGCAACATTTGAACAGATGATATTTAGATGCGCTTATATAACAGTTCTTGGCATATAAGTATGGTAAATTCCAATAGTTTTGAAATTGCTGATCTTTAGTGTGTAAAAAGCACTCGTGACTGGGTTTATATTTGATTGAATTCTGCCTAGAAAGTGTCAAACTAAAAGTCGCTCAAGATTTCAAGAGCAAAATTTGCCCTGAACTTTGTTTGGTGACCTTCATAAGCAAATCGTTAAGTGAAATCATGCACACAGTTTAAAAGAATTCATGGCAATGCCAATTTTGTTTTCTAAAGAAACTGAGTGGTTTCGCTTGCATGAGGTAAATTCATTCAAATCTCAAAAGCCTTTTTCGTGGTTTTCTGAAACTCCAGAATAGTATTTTATTATAATTACATGGTGATTAACTTAGATATGACAATAATTCCTGTGCGCTATCCTTAAAATCACTGAAAATAATGCCCAGTGTTTGTGAGAATGGCGCCTAAAGCACTGGGAAGACACGAAGTCATTTAAAAAGGCCTACATTTTGAACGAATTCGGCAATGATGGCACTCGGTGAGGGGTTTGAGGTCATTTTCACCTGCTCCACTGCTAACGCTGCTGCTGTTGTTGTTCCGCATGAAGGTTGGTGACGTCATGGCACGACACCTGAACGTCAGGGGAACACTGCAATGGGCGTAGGAGTAATGATGCGTCCCACTGCTCTTGACCTTGACTTGTCGCGCCACCGCCTGCGCTGTTCGAAGCTCCGCTTGAGTTGTCCGGGCCACATACATCGCCTCAAATAGGCGCAAATTGCCTTGGCTGGTCACTGATCCGGGGAAGCCAACAATTCGTGCAGCCTGTCACAAGAGAAGATAGAGATCAGTTCCGCTCTTTTTCCCTTGAAGAAAATATTCCCCTTGGCCAACAATACACCTTTTTAGTAGCACCTGTGGCTAGCCAAATCCTCAATTAAAATTTTGAAATTGAAGTAACTTTTCCAATTAAACCAATCTCCCCGTAGTTCAAAACCGAAATATGATAATGGTTAATCAAAAGGAGAATCGCAAATATTTAAATTTACCTTTGAAGGTCCCACTTTATAAGTGCAAGTTATCTAATCACTTAAGAGTTATATTAGATTAACTTATCAATAACCAAAAAATATTCTTCTCTCAGAAAATTGGCGAATGGGGCATGGGAACTGTGTGCTCAATCTCAAAGATGCCTACAATCGATGCTGAAATGATCAGGAGTGAAGGGGGGGGGGTGGAGGGG